AGAAGAGGCTGATCTCAAAACACTTATACTATATGATTCCATTTACATAACATTCTGGAAATGACAAAATTATAGAGGTAGAAAACAGATTAGTGGCCAGTGATTAGGAGCGGCCAGAGGAATGGGAATGGATGTGAGTACAAAGAGGTAACACAAGTGCTATGTTTGTGGTGATGGAATAGTTCTTTGTGTTGATCATAGTGGTAATTACATGAATCTGCATGTGATAAAATGGCATAGAGCTATAAGTACACTCATTGCATCAATGTCAATTTTCTGGTTTTGATGTACTACAGTGATGTAAGATGTAATTCACTGGGAAAAACTGAGTGAAAAGTACAAATGACTTTTCTTTTCGCAGAAGTTCATAATAATTAAAGATTATAATTACAAAGTAATGTAAGTATAATTATAAATAGAAGTATATTTATAATTATAATTATCATTTATAAGTATATAATCTTTATAATTATTTTTAAATAATTGTAGATTTTAAATAATTGTAGATTCCCAGGAGAATCTACAATTATCTAAAAATAGAGTTAAAAAAGCCTCATAAAAGACCAGGCATGGTGGCTCATGCCTGTAATTCCCAGCACTTTGAGAGGCCAAGATGGGTGAATTGTTTGAGTTCAGGAGTTTGAGACCAGTGTGGGCAACATGGCAAAATTCTGCCCTAGAAAAACAACACGCACACAAAATTAGCTGGATGTGTTGGCGCGTACCTGTAGTTTAAGCTACTCGAAATGCTGACATGGATCACCTGAGCCTGGCACTTCAAGGTTGCAGTGAGCCATGATGGTGCTGCTGCACTCCAGCCTGAGTAATGGAGCAAGATCAAAAAAAAAAAATCACATAAACTATACATATGTGTATGTGTGTGTACAAAGTCTAGAAAAGCAATGATAGGCTCTACAAAAAGTTAGCAGAGTTATGAATATATCTGTATTACTTGAATATTTTTAAAAGAATGCCTTTGTGAACTTCTCATATAAAAAAAGTAATGTAAAATCATTGTAAAAAATTCAGATATACATAGAAACATAAACAAGATGAAAATCGCCTGTTCTATGATGCCACAGATAATTTAATTCACCTAACAAATATTTCCTGAGTACATTCTACAGAGCTATGATCTATCACGATTTTAGTGTGCATTTCAGAACTTTCCTGTACCTCCAGAGTTCTATACAAATTGTAATCATTCATTGATATGTATTGTTACAAGCGTAAAATGTACAGCTGGCCTTCTGGATCCACAGGTTCCAAAACTATGGATTCAATCAACCTTGGGTCGAAAGTATTAGGGAAAAAAACCAAAGATAATAAGACAACAATAAAAAATAATGGAAGTAAAAGCAGTACAGTATACCAACTATTTACATAGCATTTCCATTGTATTAGATATTATAAGTAATTGAGAGATGATTTAAAGTATATGAAAGGATGTGTATAGGTTATATGCAAATACTATGCTATTTTATATGAGGGACTTGAGCATCCTCAGATTTTGTTATTTATTGGAGGTCCTAGAACCAATCCCCTACCAATACCAAAGGACAACTGTTATATAATAAGCTCTTATTACTTAACATTCATTATTCATTCATTTAGCATATATTTATTGAGCACCTATATTAGCCAATACCATGCTAGGTTCTGAGAATGGAAAGGTGAATAAATTGTTTCCTAACAAAATTTACTGATATGGTTTGTCTTCATGCCCCCACCCAAATCTCATCTCAAATTATAATCCCCACGTGTTGAGGGAGGGAGTTGGTGGGAGGTGATTGGATCATGGAGGTGGTTTCCTCCATGCTGTTCTCATGATAGTGAGGAGCTCTCATGAGATCTGATGGTTTAAAAGTGGCAGTTTCCCCTGCGTGCGTGCTCTCTCTCTCTCTCTCCTGCTGCCATGTAAGACATGCCTTGCTTCCCCTTCACCTTCTTCCATGATTGTAAGTTTCCTGAGGCCTCCCTAGCCCTGTGGAACTGTGAGTCAATTAAACCTCTTTTATTTAGAAATTACCCAGTCTCAGGTAGCATCTTTATAGCAGTGTGAAAACTAACATGCTTATAATATAGTGGGAGAGAATATCACTAAAGAAATAATATTTCCAAGAAGTATACAACTATAGATTGTCAAGTTCAGACAACTGTAAACAATGTTCTGAATATTCATCTGTGAAAGGAAAGGGTGATGGCTATGATGGCAAGATACTGTGGCATGTTTATTATTGATGGGAATGAGCCAGTAGAAAGAGGTTAAAAATACAAGAGCAAGAGAAGGGAATCCTGTATTTACAGAAAGCTTCCTTAGAATAAAAAAGCCAGAGACCAAGTGAAAGGGTTGGCTTCAAATAGAAGGGAACTGCCTCAACTGAAATAAGTAAAAGTGAGGATGACTGAAAATATAGCTTAGTTTGTAGATTTAGAGGTTTGAAGAATTGCCAAAATAAGGGACAATGTCATCTGCCTAGAGCAAAGGCGTATGTTGCAAGTTCTGAGGTTTGAAGAGAATGGAGTTTTTAAGTAGTAGTTTGGGGAAAACATGCTGAATAGAGAAGGGCAATAACTGGGCATGCTTCATTAAGAACCTGTATTCTGTCACGTGGGGCAGATTCTAAATATTTTCAGCTCTCTTATTGCAGGCAAGATAAAGGCAAATGAGTAGGTATTAGAAGAGAGAGAGACAAACTTCTAGAGGGAACCAAATTTTTAAAGGGGATTGTCTTCCAACTGGGAAGAGAGGGAAAGCTTTATGAGGGGAGTAGATCTGAGCTGGGCAAGAGAACACACTTGCTAGAGAAAGAAAATGGCCAAAGAGAGAAAAGGGGAGAAAAAAGTCTGGGGGAGACGGAAATAAAAGCAGAGTAGAGGTGGATTTCTGGCCTAGGTGCAGGAATTTCCTTTTGTCTTCCAAAGCAAATGTGGTCTTAGTAATATTAACAGTTTATCATCTGATGTTGTGAAATTGTTTCTATATATTTTTTAGACTCTTAGACCTGACAATCTATGGAGGAATTCCCAGGCATCTTTAGCTGCTACAGAGATGACGGAATGAAGGACAAGTATATTATCCTCCACACATTAAAAGAGAGGCTCCAGCGAGCAACAGAAGGCAAAAGTTCTTTTTTTTTTTTTTAAACAGAGTCTTGCTCTCTCATCCAGGATGGAGTGCAGTGGCATGATCTTGGCTCACTCCTACCTCCACCTCCCAGGCATCTTTAGCTGCTACAGAGATGGCTGAATGAAGGACAAGTATATTATCCTCCACATATTAGAAGAGAGGCTCCAGGGAGCAACAGAAGGCAAAAGTTCTTTTTTTTTTTTAAACAAAGTCTTGCTCTCTCACCCAGGATGGAGTGCAGCGGCATGATCTTGGCTCACTGCAACCTCTACCTCCCAGGTTCAAGCGATTCTCATGCCTCAGCCTCCCGAGTAGCTAGGGTTACAGAACATGCCACCACACCTAGCTAATTTTTGTATTTTTAGTAGAGATGGGGTTTCACCATGTTGGCCAGGCTGGTCTTGAACTCCTGACCTCTAGTGATCTGCCTGCCTTGGCCTCCCAAAGTGCTGGGATTACAGGCATGAGCCACTGTGCCCGGCCAACATTTATCATGTGTTGAGACTATTCCAACCTTTCTCCTCTATTTTGAAATATAAAATAAATTATTGACTACTATAGTCACCCTACTGTGCTGTGAACACTACAACTTATTCCTTCTGTCTAACCGTATTTTCGCTCCTTTTAACTTCTCTTCATCTCCCTCTCCCTCTGTATCCTTCCCAGCCTCTGGTAACCACAATTTTACTCTCTATCTCCATGGAATCAACCTTTTTAGCTCCCACATATGAGCACCTAACTTCAAAGTAAGACCCACAACCATGCAGCTATTCCCAGAAAATGATTTGAGAAAATGCTTGAAAATGTTGATCTGGGCAACGATTTTTTTTTTTTTTTTTAATTAAGACCTTCTTCTGAAGAAAAGGGCATACTTTTCACTGAAAAAAAGTTTTTTTTAAATGAGCAGATACTCATGCATTACTAGTGCAGCCAAAAATTATAAAAAAGTAGGGAAGAATGCAAAATAGCGTGTGCCTCTTAACTAAAGAACTGTTAAGATACAAAACTTGGCTCTTTGCTGCCTTTCCCCCACTGCCAAGAGGGAAACATGAATTAGTTACATTGCCGTCGTGCTCATTGGGAGTTCGCTATATGGACCAGATGGGGACTGCTCTGAATTTCCACTCAAGTCTGACATTCTTTTGTCAGCGTTTGTGTAACCGGCTTTCCTTGCATTCAGAGGAAAGGAGGTATGGAAGTATGGATGGGAAAGTTGGGACGATTCGATACAGTATGGTAACCTCGATCGCAGCTCTCCTATGAGACTTGCTTCATGGATTCTGAGTCACTGAAGCTTGCCCCTTCTCTTTCCTGACCCTCTTCCGTTTCCCCTTAGATTGGAGATTCTCCTCAGATTCTAAGTCTCTGAAATTATTAGTGTTCGCAGTCCCTGGGCCCATGGAGGGGTCTCAAGTCTTCAGTTCTCAAAGATCACCTTTTAAGCTTCATTCGAAACATGATACAGCCACACGAATCCTAGCCCTGAATCTCACGAAGACCTCAGTACACCTGGGGAAGGCAGCACACCCAGTTCCGACACTACTAGAGACGTCACACGCCGCAGCACCCACCCGCTCCCGGCCCAGAGCGAGCGCACGCGCAGAACGAGAGAGCGGTCACCCAGGGATCGGGGCTATCTGCACAGAGGTTACAGTCTCGGAAAGGCCTGGCTTCTTCGTGGCTTTGTGGAGATCTCGCACAGCGGCCATTCGATTAGCACCCGAAGAGATTCAAAGGAAGCAGCTGTTCAGTCCCCAGCATATTTCCGTTTCAAACCACCCACTTCCGGTTTTTCAGCCGGTTCCGGTCCCGCCCTTCACTTCCGGTTGCTTTCGGTCTCGCAGCGGCCGGTTTCTGCGTCCGCTGCCGCTGGTTCCACCGCGCTCCAGGTGAGGGGTTGCGGGGCACCCTGGCGCGCTCCCCATGGAGACGCTGCTGGGGCTCGGGGACAGTGGCTTTGCCGCCCGCGCGGCGTGGCTTGCACTACGGCGGGCTGGGAATAGTGTCTGTCCTAGTCCGACGCCCAGGCCCCTAGCCCCGGCCCGCTTAGTCGCGGGGGCTGCTGTCCTCCTATCCAGCCGTCTCGCCTATTTCTAGGGCTTTCTGTTTCCCAGTGGGTTTTGCGTCCCTAGACTTCATTCCTCCATCTTCTCAGGCTTGTCCATCCCTCCCCTCACCCTCCTTATTGAAAGCATCCCGACCTTTTTGGTCTGGAGTCTCCACCTGCCTCCTGATGCTACCCTAAATCAGTCAGCACAGCCCCCGACCTGCATCACCTCGCAGTTGTTGCTGGTGTGCGGTTCTCGCCGGGAATTCTTAGTGCTTCACGGTTACCTTTTGCTGGGATTGTTGAAAGTTAGCCTCCCATTAATTCCCAAAGTGTTACTTTTACTGCTATACTTTAAAATTTCTTCATTTGCCACTTTTAAGGTTTGTGGTCCCGGGCAAGTTTAATTTCTTTTCAGGTTTCTCATTTGTATAATGAGGACAACAGCTATTGGTTCAGGATTGTGAAGATTCAGTGAGATAATTAAATTGTTTAGCATGTTGTTATTCCATCACGAACACTATTCGTATTGGGTTTTACAGTTTACGAAGTGCTGTCACAGGTGTTAGTTCATGCCTTAACACTACTCCTGTCCAGTGAATATTAGTAGCCTCATCTTGTTGAGAAGACTGAGGTCGAGAGGTAGATTGACTAGGCAAAGTCAACACAGTATGTTAGGCAGAACTCGAACGTAAACAGATATTCTTGACCCTAGGTTGACCATATAGAAGTGTGTTCTTTCCTTGCTTGTTTGGGTTTGCCAACTTCACTCCTCCCCACACCCCAAATCGTTTCTCAGTTTATAAATCTGATGGGATCTGAAATGATGCAAAATACTAAGAAAGAAGGTTAAATGTGAAAGCAAAATTGCTCATGCGTTTATGTCACACTGCTTCATTGGTGTAAATGGTCTTAATAATGATGAAATAAGGTTCAGTAACTTTTAAACAAATCTTAAAGACATATGCATTTACAATTTTTATGGTGTTTGTTCTGCTTGGCCCTTTAAGGCATTTGCCAACTTGGAATTTCCACTTGTGGGATAGGTGCTTTATAGCGTTTTTTATGCTGCTTTGTTAAGCATATAAAGCCCATACCCTCTGGTACTTTTTTTTTTAAGGCTGAAAACATTGAAGAGCGTGTAGCACTGGCTCTCAAATTTGAGCATGCATCAGAGGTGAGGAGGATGGATCTTGGTAAAACACAGACTCCTAAGTCCCTTCTCTCCGCCCCAATTACATTTCTACCAAATTACCAAGTGAGGTCAATGCTGTTGGTTGGCCCAGGGACCATGCTTTGAAAACCGCTGGTCTAGAAGAGCAATGACTTGTCCAGAGTCACCTGGAGCTCAGATGATCTCACTCCAAACTCTGCGCTACTACTCATCACAATATATGCGATATTAGTGCTGGTTGCCTTTCTAGCTCTGGTAGGATTCCCTTTTATTCTTACCTCTTACAGAAAGTATTTCAACTGTATTTCGGTTTAACTCAAAAGGTCCACTTTTAATTGAAGGATATAACGTTTGTTACAGTTCTGTGTAAAATGGAATACATTACCCTAAGCTAACACACTTGCTTTACGTTTTCAGTAGAACACGTTGTAAACATAGGAGTAAGTATACATTTTTAGTTCATATTTGTATTCATATATGAGTAAATATAAAAGTGAATGTATAGTGCTCTCTTCTACTAATTGGCCTCTTAGTAGGAGATACTGTTTTCAAATTATTTTTGGATGTTGAGATTAAAAATTTGCCCTCTTTCTTGCAGTTGGTCCTAATAGTTGCATGAAGAGTGCAATCAAATGTTTCATCAAATAAGTGAAAGCATTGGAAATACCAATACGTTGAGATTAGAAAATCCAGTTCTCTGGACTGTGGGAGGAATGAGTTTTATGAAAAGTAGAAAGCTTTATGCAGGAAGAGACATATGTTTGGCTATTTACATGAGTAGCAGCCACTATATAATCTTTGTGTGCTTAGATCTGTGTCTGTGGGTTTTGTATTTACTGACTGATATGGTTTGGCTGTGTCCCTACCTAAATCTCAACTTGAATTGTATCTCCCAGAATTCCCACTTGTTGCGGGAGGGACCCAGTGGGAGGTAATTGAATTATGGGGGCCAGTCTTTCCTGTGCTATTCTTGTGATAGTGAATAAGTCTCATGAGATCTGATGGGTTTATCAGGGGTTTCCGCTTTTGCTTCTTCCTCATTCTCTCTTGCCATTGCCATGTAAAAAGTGCTTTTTACCTTCCACCATGATTCTGAGGCCTCCCTAGCCATTGTGGAACTGTAACCAGCTGGGATTACAGGTGCCCACCACCACGCCTGGCTAATTTTTTTTGTAGTTTTAGTAGAGATGGGGTTTCACCATGTTGGCCAGGCTAATCTTGAACTCCTGACCTCAGGTGAGCCACCTGCCTCAGCCTCCAAAGTCCTGGGATTACAGGCGTGAGCCACTTTGGCCAGCCTCAGGTATGTCTTAGTCGGCAGCGTGAAAACAGACTAATACCGTAAATTTGTACCAGTAGAGTGGGGCATTGCTGAAAAGATACCCGAAAATGTGGAAGCAACTTTGGAACTGGGTAACAGGCAGAGGTTGGAACAGTTTGGAGGGCTCAGAAGAAGACAGGAAAATGTGGAAAGTTTGGAACTTCCTAGAGACTTGTTGAATGGCTTTGCCCAAAATTCTGATAGCGACATGGACAATAAGGTCCTGGCTGAGGTGGTCTCTGATGGAGATGAGGAACTTGTTGGGAACTGGAGTAAAAGTGACTCTTGTTATGTATTAGCAAAGATACTTGTGACACTTGCCGCACCCTAGAAATTTGTGGAACTTTGAACTTCAGAAAGATGATTTAGGGTATCTGGCAGAAGAAATTTCTAAGCAGCAAAGCACTCGAGGTGATTTGGGGACTGTTAAAGGCACTCAGTTTTATAAGGGAAGCAGAGCATAGAAGTTTGGAAAATTTGCAGCCTGACTATGCAATAGAAAAGAAAAACTCATTTTCTGGGGAGAAATTCAAGCTGGCTGCAGAAATTTACATAAGTAGCAAGGAGCCTAAAGTTAATTCCCAAGACCTAGTGGAAAATGTCTCCAGGCTATGTCAAAGACCTTCATGGCAGCCCCTCCCATCACAGGCCTGGATGTCTAGGAAGGAAAAAAGGTTTCGTGGGCTGGGACAAGGGTCCCCATGCTGTGTGCAGCCTAGGGACTTGGTGCCCTGTTTCCCAACCACTCCAGCCATGACTGAAAGGGGCCAATGTACAGCTTGGGCTATGACTTCAGAGGGTGGAAGCCTCAAGCCTTGGTAGCTTCCATATGGTGTTGAGCCTGTGGGTACACAAAAGTCAAAGAATTGAGGTTTGGCAACCTGTGCCTAGATTTCAGAAGATACATGGAAACACCTGGATGCCCTGGCAAAAGTTTGCTACAGGGGTGGGGCCCTCATGGGGAACCTCTGCCAGGACAGTGTGGACAGGAATTGTGGGGTCGGAGCCCCCATACAGAGTCCCTATTGGGGCACTGCCTAGTAGGGCTGTGAGAAGAGGGCCACCATCCTCCAGATCCCAGAATGGCAGATTTAATGACAGCTTGTACCGTGCACCTGGAAAATCTGCAGACTCTCAATGCCAGCCCATAAAAGCAGCTGGGAGGGAGGGTGTACCTTGCAAAGCCACAGGGGTAGAGCTGCCCAAGACCATAGGAACCCACCTCTTGCATCAGCGTGACCTGGATGTGAGATCTGGAGTCAAAGGAGATCATTTCGGAGCTTGAAAATTTGACTGCTCACTGGATTTCAGACTTGCATGGGCCCTGTAACTGCTTTGTTTTGGCCAATTTCTCCCATTTGGAATGGCTGTATTTACCCAATACCTGTACCCCCTTTGTACCTAGGAGGTAACTAGCTTTCTTTTGATTTTACAGGCTCATAGGCGGAAAGGACTTGCCTGGTCTTAGATGAGACTTTGGACTGTGGACTTTTAGGTTAATGCTGAAATGAATTAAGACTTTGGGGGACTGTTGGGAAGGCGTGATTGGTTTTGAAATGTGAGGACATGAGATTTGGAGGGGCCAGGGGCAGAATGATATCGTTTGGCTCTGTGCCTACCAAAATCTCAACTTGAATTTTATCTCCCATAATTCCCATGTGTTATGAGAGGGACCCAGGGGAAGGTAATTGAATCATGGGGGCCGGTCTTTCTTGTGCTATTCTCGTGATAGTGACTAAGTTTCATGAGATCTGATGGGTTTATCGGGGGTTTCTGCTTTTGCTTCTTCCTCATTCTCTCTTGCCACTGCCATGTAAGAAGTGCTTTTTGCCTTCCACCATGATTTTGAGACCTCCCCAGCCATTCTCGAACTGTAAAGTCCAATTAAACCTCTTTTCTCTTCCCAGTCTTGGTTATGTCTTTATTGGCAGTGTGAAAACAGGCTAATACACTGATCTTTGATGTCTTAACCCTTGTACTTTCAACTGAAGAGAGAGAATTGTGGAGGAGAAGAAACCTAAGATTTAATTAGAAGACCTGTTCTGTAACTAGCTTTGTGTCTATGTGCAGATTACATAGCCTCTCAAAACTGCTGTTTCCTTAATTGTAAAAGAGAGGAAACTTATCAAATTACTTTCTCTAATGAGATTGTGTAAAAACTTCAATTCATAAAATATGAAACAAATAATGGCTCTTTACTGTTTATTTAGCACAGTGCCTGCCTGGAACATAATAAGCTTTCAGTTTAAAAAGATTTTTGTTTAACCAATACTTAATTAATGTAGTGTTTACTAGGTGCTAGGCACTATGTAACTTGTAAATGTTAATTAATTTAATCCTCATAAGAGCCCTAAGAAGTAGGTAGTATCATCATCCCTATTTTACAGATGAGGAAACCTAGGCACTGAGAGTCAAGTAACTTCTCAAAGTCAGATAGCTAAGTGGGAGAGATCCGGAATCTGAACCCAGGTCATCTGGCTCTAAAGTCTGTGTTCTTAACTACACCACACTACCTTTCAAATGTTAAATAAACATTGATGGTCTGTCAGGGAAGGACTTGCCTGTAGCATCAACCTGACCAAATAGAGCAGGAGGAATGGTAGCTCATAATTGCACATTTCCAGTTGAACAGTGAGAGTCAGAGTATTAGAAAGTAGTAACTCTAAGCCAAAAATTAGAAGTGTGGGGGAATTTAACTTTGAGTCCTAGGATCTTTTGGTGTTCTGGTAGTATTCCTGTATGGACAAAAATCCTCTGTGTCATCATTTGTAAAATACGGCTCAAAGTATACACATAAAACTTGAAAGTTTGGCTTCAGTATACAGTATCTATTTTAAGTTGTTCACTTTTTGTCTTTCTTTCCAGGTATTTTTTTTCTGAAGGAAAGCTGCTTCCTCATATGTTTCAAGAATGGCTCTCCCTATCATTGTAAAATGGGGTGGACAGGAGTATTCCGTGACCACACTTTCAGAAGATGATACTGTGCTCGATCTCAAACAGTTTCTCAAGACCCTTACAGGAGTGCTTCCAGAACGCCAAAAGTTACTTGGACTCAAAGTTAAAGGTAATTCTCTCCCCTCTTCAGAATTTTTTGCATTGAATTTTTAGTATTATGAATTTTAATAATTATTTTGAGTATAATTATTTAATAATTTATACTTGCTATTTGTTGTTTAGTAAGTCTTTCCCTTTCGAGATTTCTTTAGTAGAAATATTCTTAAAATTGTTTTAGTGGTAAAAGTGAGAATATTAAAGTGTCCTTGAAAATACCATGATTATTAAGATTACTTTTGATGTTTTAGACAGTTGGTATTTGCTTGTTAAACCTTTAGCACAGAAGTCCTTTATGAAACTCATTTATTTTCTGACATCTACCTTTTAGCACAGTGTTTTGTACTCTTCCCAAGGGCCTTGTACTCTTCCCAAATTATCTTTTCTGTTTCAAAAGTAAAGACAACATTTAAAAATTACAGGCAGCATTCATATCCAGTTTAAAGGCATTTTTTATGGTGTTTTGTGATTATCATATCAATGAAGAGTGAGTTTTGAGTAACAGTAAATCTACAGTTTTCGTAGGCACTCAATTTTTAAGACTTCCTGGAAAAGAGTAATACTCATTTTGAACAGCAGAATAAAACATGAATTAATTTTGTTTAGGTAGTTGAATAAAGGTGTTCGTCTAACATAGAACTGGGGAGAAAATAACCCTTGTATTAATTTTGACTTCTTAGTGTCTTAGATATGACTAATTCAGCAGAAACAATTTGTTAATGTAGGAAAAACAGAAACAACAAAAATTGCTGTGACATGTGTACCAAACCTTTTAATGTTAAGGTTTTGTATAATGGAATAGTAAAACCAGCACCTGTGAGAAAACAGTCATTTGCTTGTATTGTAGGCAAACCTGCAGAAAATGATGTTAAGCTTGGAGCTCTCAAACTGAAACCAAATACTAAAATCATGATGATGGGAACTCGTGAAGAGAGCTTGGTAAATGTTTACTTTTTGTTACTATTTGTCCATTTGATACTGCACTGTTGTATTATAGTTTTAATTGTGGTAAAATTGTCAGTCTAGCAATCAATGAAAAATAAAACCCGCACCGTGAATGTGGTATTAACTGTGTAAGTATAGTAGTAGTGCAAATGGTCAAATTTAATATGGTAAATCTGCCCAGGAAACATACATAATGAATTATTAATTGTGGAGATTTTCCAGTGTGGGCTTAAAAGACTCTGTAACTCGAATTGTATCTCTCATTTGATTTTTATGCTATGCATGTATTTGTTACATTAAGGATAATATGGTAAAACAAAACTTTTTCCATCTTAATAGGAAGATGTCTTAGGTCCACCCCCTGACAATGATGATGTTGTTAATGACTTTGATATTGAAGATGAAGTAGTTGAAGTAGAAAATAGGTAAGTGCTTTTCGCTTTAGAAGTAATCAGTTGTCATGTGAGAATAAGTGAATATTTTATCTAATTATATGTCTTCAATTAGGGAAGAAAACCTACTGAAAATTTCTCGCAGAGTGAAAGAGTACAAAGTGGAAATTTTGAATCCTCCCAGGGAAGGGAAAAAGCTTTTGGTACTAGATGTTGATTATACATTATTTGGTAAGTGAGTTAATGATGCTTTTCATTTTCTGTTACCCACAACAACTCTTTTTTTTCTTTTCTTTTTTTTTTTTTTCTTAGCAACTCATGGTTCTCATGAAATACTTGAAAACTTTTCTTATTACAAAAGTAAATTGCTCATTGTAGAAAATACAGATAACCAAAAAAAGAAGTCATCTGTAATAGTGATACCCAAAGATGACCACTCTTAATAATTTGATATATATCGTCTAGACTGTTTGTATGGCTCTCCTGTAATTATTTAATAACAGATTGAACATCATCTCAGTAAAATATTGTTTATTATGAATGATGTATGTATGTGTGTGTGTATATATATATGTATACACACTTTTTTTTTGGCCAGATAGTGTTCTAGTTTATGGATGCATCATCATTTAACCATGTGACTCCCTGTTGATTATAAATAATTTTTTATAAGGAATATTTTAAAAAATTATTTTTGATATTTTATCACTAGTTTTCTGTTTAATTATATTCAAGCAGACTCTTGAATTTAAACTTTCTCATGTAGGCCAGGTGCAGTGGCTCACATCTATATCCCAGCACTTTGGAAGACTGAGGTGGGAGGATCGTTTGATCTCAGGAGTTGGAAATCAACCGGGGAAACATAGCAAGACCTCAACTCTACTAAAAACTAAAAATATTAGCTGGATGTGGTGGTATGCACCTAGTCCCAGCTACTTTAGGAGGCTGAGGTGGGAGGATTACTTGAGCCCAGATTCAGACTGCAGTGAGCTATGGAGTGCCACTGCAGTCCAACCTGGGTGACAGAGTGAGACCCTATCTCAAAAAAAAAAGTGTTTTGTGTTCATTGAAAAAGAAAGATGTTCCGCTTATGTATAATGTTGGCAAGAAATAGTTAACTTCTGATATTGGAATTTATTTCTAACCCTAAACCTAAAATATAAGTTAATGTATAGTTTTTAAAAATTTAATTAATTGGTTAATTGGCCCTATCATTTTGATGAAATGTGATTATATCTGCAAGATAGATGACTAAAGGTGAGTATAAGTGGACATAGTTTGTTTTTCATTATTAAAAAATAACATCTAAACTTCAGAGACTAGGTGAGAAAAAAATTTACAGGTTACTACTTAAGCCTGAATTTTCAGTATTGCTTTTTGCAAACTGAGCAAAACTGATCGACTAAAATTGGATCTTAAGGATTTTTAATTGTATGGTTTGAAAGACATCTTTTTGTCAGCCAATATAATTCAGTCTGAAGCAGTTTGCACTGGAATGTTTATATTGCATTTCATAATATATTACATTTTATAATAATTGGTATTAGGTACTTGTTCATGATGATAAACTAATAATTATGATCAATTTTCTTTTAGACCACAGGTCTTGTGCAGAGACTGGGGTAGAGTTAATGCGGCCATATCTTCATGAATTTCTAACATCTGCCTATGAAGATTATGACATTGTTATTTGGTGTAAGCTGTATTTTTTTGCTTAGATTTCTGTGGAAATAAGGTTGTTCCATATATTATTGTGCTGTATAAAATGTGACTTAAAATGACCTATATTTAAATATGAAATAGTTTTCATTTTTTAGCAAATTTCTAAAACGAAGTGTGTATCATAATATAAACTTACACATATATTTGCCAAATACCAGTGAGATAGTAAATTTAAGTATAGGACATGAGTACATTATAGTATAAGAATAAAAATAACTAATTTTCCCAATGACCCCACCTTGATTTGAAGTTTTTCCTTCTGATTTTTTTTTTTTTTTTAAACTGGGGACATATCTTTAGGGTCTTGCTGTGTTGCCCAGGCTGGTCTCGAACTCCTGGGCTCAAGTGATCCTCCTGCCTTGGCCTCCCAAAGTGCTGGGATTACAGGCATGAGCCAACGTGCCCAGCCTTTCCTTCTGATCTTTGCTGTGGAATTCTTGATGCTTCAGAATATTTTTGCTTTCTCCTTTTTTCCTGACTCCAGTTTTAAAATACTTGGAAAAAGGTGTTTAAAATAAATCACACTGATGTAGTTCTCCGGAAATAAAGGCAACTTGAATTACTTAAGGAAAAATTAATATGTGGACTAAAGCAGTGACATTGAAATTGTGGTCTATGGACCATTTCAAGAATGTACAGGTCTGTGATAAGATACTGAGTTTGCTTCAAGAAGTATATCTACTGTAATAGTATGCACACTATTCAGTTCAATTAATGTTTTTTGGTAGCAAGACTTTCTTGAAAAATGAAGCAACGCATTGATTTACATCCCTCCTCCCCACAAATATATGAGTTCACAGCTGTTAAGATTAAAATTATCGTCAAAATATATAATTTTCTGGTTTAGTAAGATAAGGCGAAGAAAGCTTGCTGGTAAGCAAATTTTTGTTTAGCAACTTTGACATCTAAGATGATATTTGAGAAAAAAATTTATCCTTTAAATGTTATTAAACTAGACTTATAAAATCTGAGAACCTTTTACAATCATATATTTAAATTATTTTTATAAACCATGGTATTTTGTGGTGTTCATTGAAAAGAATACTTCACTTTGGAGCTAAATAGACTAAGATTTTAATTCTGGCTCTGTTCTTACTGTGTGACACTGAGCAGGTCACCTAATCTCTCTGAGCCTTAGTTTCCTTATTTGAGAAATGAAGATAACTAAATATAACAAGTTAGTTGTAAGAATAGAAGTGTCAATATAGCAACTAGTACTATGTCTGACATATAGTTACTTAATAATTAGAAACTTTTTATTAGCTGTGAGTCTTTGTTTTTCATCTGATAATTGCAGATACAAAATAAGTACTGAATTAATTTTTTTTTCTATCTTTATGATGGTTTTCATTGGAGATACAACAGTCTTTAAAATTTTAGCTCAACTGACTAGTTTCGTATGTGTAAAGTGGTTCTTCTGTTTTTTGTATGTGTGCATGCTGAAGATTTTTTACTTTGAGAACTCAGGTTCCTCTTTTGCTTTTAAAAATTATACACACACACACTTCAAATAATTAAATTGCTTTTTCTCTTTTTAAACATTTTACTTGGTTATACCTGTATAGTTTAGTCCAGTAAACCAGGAGAGCACATAAAGATGAGGATTTAAGTTTAGTATTAATGATCTCAAAGCTGGTTAATGTCTGACAATGAGCAGATACATGATGCAGGTATACTTTATGAATTTGTCTCAGATTTCTTGTTAGAAGCTGCTAGACTCAGAGAGCTTTAATTTACTGAGACTGACAAAATGCAGATTTCATTGAACCTAACTAGCTGGTTTTCAACATAAACTTTTGACACATAACAATATGCTTATATTGACACTGTGTATACCTGTGCATTGCATAGAAGTAGGAACATGGAAAAAAGTGATCCAGTTACCCGAGTTTAAGTTTGGGTGATAGAGCGTGAGGGCTGATTCAAAAAGAGAGTTTAGGTCTTGATTTGTAAATTTCCTAGGTTCAGAGTTCTTCTGAGCATGGGTTACCTGTATCTTATAGATAAAAGTTGTTTAAAATTTATTCTGTCTTGAAGACACACTGCAATAAGTTTACTTTTATCATTATTTAAAAGAAAATTACCATAAATGCTAGGGACTGTTAATTCTGATGCATTTAAACTTTTAGTTTTGCTTAGAAAACTTATTTATACAGATTTTTTTTTAAAGAAATTCAAACTTTTCATATGTATTGTATTATCATTCCTCATGTTTTAGCTGCAACAAATATGAAGTGGATTGAAGCTAAAATGAAAGTAAGTGTTAGAAAGCAATCCATTTAAAAATATTTTCAAACTGCATTTGTCTTGTTAAAAGTTCTAGAACTGAATTAGTTTTATTCTTACTGGAGGGCACTTAGTAGATAGATAAATGCCATTATTGGGAGTATAGGCTTTTTTTAAAGTGTGTTTATTAAGTGGATTGTACTGATCCCTAAGTTTTTTTTTAAGAAAAAGTATAACTAAGCTTGTCCCCTCCCCCACATTCTTCCTCATTTTACAATAATACTTTATTTTCCTTCTTTTGCTCTGGTGTTTAATACTTAAAGAGTCAGTATTCTCCTAAAATGGAGATTAGGAAGTAATCTATTTCTAGTTTATTTTCCTTGGTCTAGCATTTATTGACTTAGCTAAGTTAAACTAAAATACTTCCTAGTTGTTCAGCAAGATGCAGTGGCCAGTGGTGTAAAAAGTTGGCATTATGAGAAATTGCAGCTAGAATATTCAGAAAATCTGAAATTTTCCATATTACTATGTTTTAACCTCATGAATATTTGTGTTTATAGGAGCTGGGAGTGAGCACAAATGCAAATTATAAGATTACTTTCATGTTGGATAGTGCTGCCATGATAACAGTACATACTCCAAGGAGAGGATTAATAGATGTAAGAAGTCATTTTACTTCTATTTAATGACATGGTTATTTTCCAGTGTACTTGTAATGTTTATACTGGTGGAGTAAATTAAAGAAAGAGTATAGAGATTCATCTGAGTGAATAATAAAGTGGTTGAGTTTTGACATAGCAAAATGTATTTAAGGTTGAAAGATTTGAATTTTAATGATAAAATTAAGGATCTTGAAGCAGGACTGTCAAGAAAGGAACTTGTGATTGTGCGTAATCGACCTGTGTTGATGACAGCACAACGTTACTGGGCAGAGTAGGTGAGAAAAATACTGAATATTATCAAGGAAGATACTAGGAACAAACAAAAACACTCACCCTGCCCTGTATGAAATTGGTAATAAAAGCAGATGCATCATGATGCATGTACTTTGGGGTGATGCTAGAGAATAGCAACAAGAACAATCAGAGAAAAGGGTTGGGCTAACCAGTTATTTTAGTTGTCAAGCAACTATTTATATTATTAAGTTCCTACTATCTGGAAGGTCCTGTGATTGGCACTGTTGGAAATATAGAGATGAGTGAGACACAGTCCATACCGTTTGAAAGCACTCAAACTGTTAGCCGGGCTGGATGGTGCATGCCTGTAATCCCAGCTACTCAGGAGGCTAGGGCAGGAGAATTGCTTGAACCCAGGGGGTGGAGGTTGCAGTGAACTGAGATCACGCTACTGCACTCCAACCTGGGTGATGGAGCAAGACTCTATCTCAACAAAATAAAGTAAAAATAAAATAAAAACATAAAAACACCCAAACTAATAGGAATTGAGGAGAACTTAGGATACGAGGAAACCTTAGGGGAGACAGTATTAAAATCATGAAAACCATAAATAGAATGATTTAAGAGCATGGGGACTTGTTCTATAAAGTAAATACTGCATGTATCAGGAAAAAGATAACTTATTATATACTAAAGTAAAATAATAACATTTACAAAATCTTAACGTTAAAAATTACTTAGGGAAATGTTAAACATGTTTTATAACAGTGAAAAATTAAAGGAATAAAAATAATCCTCAATATCCAGCAGTAGGGAATTGGATATATAAACTACTGTTATCTATGTAAGGAACTGTGGCTCGTCATTTGATGTGGTAGGATATGTAATGATTTAGAAATTTTCATGACACGTTTAAGTGGAAGAAGTATTTTAGAGAACACTGTTGTAAGCCATTAGAAAATAGTTCTTAACCTTTGTTTGGTTCAGGATTACCCTTAGTTTCACAAAGAACCTGTCAATTCTCTGAGGCTGTTCTTGTTTATAAAAGTGCCTGAGCCAATATATCAGAATATTGAGTTATTGTCCTTGGTACTGATAGATTATTGATGATTTAAAATTTTCCTTTGTGCTTTTCAGTATTTTGAAGTTTTTTTTGTAGTTAGCAATATTACTTTTCTAATTGAGAACAAAGTAGTTTGTGTTTTGGGGAACATATCTATGGTGCTTGACCTAATTACCAAATGACAGCACTTTTTAAGAGGATGTAGGATTTTTATTCTGGATGTCATAAAAAGTGACCTCTGTTGTCATATTTCTTGAGGCTTTTGTTAGCTAAAAATCCCCAAAATATGGCTTATTGTATTAGTTCCTATATATTTCTCTTATTTTGCAGGACTGGAGTGGGTGGTTTCTGTTTCAGTAGTAAACAAGATTAGTAGCAAAAAAAGAAAATCAGGAAAGTAAAATTTTAGTAAATTAAAATATTTCATTAACCTTTTTTGTAATAGGACCATAGGAAGGAAAAAGCTTTCTTCAAATTAAGTTATAGGAGGAAAAAAATTTTACAGCGACAACCTTTATCACTATTTATTTATTACCACTTAATCTCATACATTTATTATTACATTCTGTTCTCATACTACCATAAGACTTTTGTCTTCAGCAAAAGTAATTTTCTAAAAATTAATTTAAAAATTTTTCCAAATGTGTAGTGACTAAAAGAAGAATAAAGGACATAATGAAAAGTCATCTTTCACCTGGCACATAGCCACTTATTCTCCCTATAGTCAATCAGTGTTATTTCCTGTGTGGTCTTACAGAGACTTTACATAAGTACCAATAGGTAAGACTATATGAGAAATTACCTCTTTGAAGCTTCAGTTTAACAAATCAGAAATAAGAGTAAGAATTTGTAAAATATGGTGCTTCTGAAGTTAAGCAATCAAATTCCCTAGAAATTATGCACCTGCGCCACTGAGTTAAAGATAAAATGAGTTTTTCCTCTATAAAATATTTAAAGTATCAATTGAAAGAGCCAAATACATTTTTTTTGACTAGGGTGTTCTAGTTGGGAAAGCAGACTCCATGTGACTCCCAAGCTCTGAGAGGGAATGTGTTAACCAAGGAAGTCATGTGACTGCATAGCAGACATCTAAACAGTTACTTTGGATTTTTAAAAAATTAAATAATTATTTTACCCAAAATCTTCATGTTAAAATTATGGAAAATTTTATAATGGGTGTAGTTCAGTTGGACATGAACCAACCTTTCAGAAGTTTCAGTATTGCAAAATGCATTGTGCTTTAAAGTGGGTCGCATTTAATAATTAGCTCACACCTGTCTCACAGGAGGAAAGGAACGCTTTGGCATTGTTTTGCAGGGCAGTTTGCGGTATTCCTGCTTTTAAGACAGGATGAAATGTTGATAAAATTTGAGTTAAATGTAAACTTTTGTTCTAAGGTAAAGCCTCTTGGTGTTATATGGGGAAAGTTTTCGGAGTTTTACAGCAAGAAAAACACCATTATGTTTGATGACATAGGGAGAAATTTTCTAATGAACCCACAGAATGGACTAAAGGTAAGACATACTTTTACTTGTTATGTGCTCACGTAATCTGGACTGTGTGGTAGAACTTTTGTAGTAAGCACTGTTGAATTTCATGTATTTTTGGAAGTACTGTATTCTTATGTCACAGGCAAGAAAAGTTTAAGAACAATTCATGTAGAAATTGAACTTTGTCTTTTTTGCATTGATGTCTCCATAGTTAGCTAGTTCATCCAAGTATTTGTTTGTTTGTTTGTTTGTTTGTTTTTGAGATGGAATCTCACTCCATCGCCCAGGCTGGAGTGAGGTGGTGTGGTATCGGCTCACTGCAGCCTCCACTTCCTGGGTTCAAGTGATTCTCCTGCCTCAGCCTCCTGAGTAGCTAGGATTACAGGAGTGCACCACCACATCCAGCTAATTTTTGTATATTTAGTAAAGACGGGGTTTCACCATGTTGGCCAGGCTGACCTCCTGATCTGCCCACTTCGGCCTCCCAAAGTACTAGGATTGCAGGCGTGAGCCACTGTGCCCGGCCCAAGTATTTTATTTTTAATTAGCTCTGTGGGAGCAACATGGGCTTCCCAACATTGACTTTTAGCATCAAAAGTAAAATCATTAGTTATTTATTTAGGTATACAAATCCTGGCATTTTAAACATTCTGGTTAGCTTGAGAAATGGCAGTAAGGGTACTTTGTTTTTCTTTTTAAACTGAAACTAAAGACGTTTTTGAAAATTCCTAGAGGGCAAGTACAGATCTTAGAATTAGACGTTGCTAGAGCTAGAAGGAACCACAGTCATCTCTTGCCTACCTTCTTAACTTTGGAAACAGTCTCAGGTTGAAGAAGTTACTGACTTGCCCAAGATTGTGTGTGTAACTGGCTAATGGCAGAATTTGGGTTAGACTCTAGTGACTTGGTTCCTAGGTCAGTGACAGTCCTAGCATGCAATTGCATGCAATCTTATGTGACATTTCATCTTGGTAACAGTGTAAAATTGGTAAGAGTGAAATTTGAAACTTAAAAGTTTCTGGTACCCATAGTAATTACATGTTGGCGCAATATGAAAATGGAAAAGATAGCTCTATACTATGGCACTATTGCATATGGAGTCTCCATTTGAAGCGCAGTCCTGACACTGAGATGTTTTTATCCTCAGTCCTAAACTTTTCTACTAGCTGGGTCCTTGGTAGTTCTAAAAGACAAGAGAGAAAAACTTAAAGTACATTTTTTAAACCTTTCTTTTGTTGATTTGATTTTTTTGTTTACAGTGAGGATATTTTAGGGAAAGAATGCTAATCTAGGTAGTGAATTGCCACAAGTATAAAAGCTATTGACTTGGAAGAAAAGTGGTTATGTTGTCCTTAATGGTTTCTGTTTAAGGCTTGGGGAGAAGTGCTTTTCTTACATGTGCTTCACCAGGTATAAGGTACAAAAATGTATTCTTGAGTCTTGAGAAGAAATGTGATTGATGTAAACTTAATTGTCTGTGAAACTAGTGGTTATTACCTATTCTTGCAAGGAGGTGAGCCCATGATGGTCAAGGAATAATTTTTGAGGAGACCTTTAGCTTTTTAAAAAAAAAATACTATCATTAGTTTCATGTTTGTTTAGAAGAAACTTTGTTTTCCTAACCAACATTTGAGTTCCATTCATCTCTTGATGCAGGGAGAGATGTTATTGTAAATGTCTACTTCTTTATGTTACTTTACAGTAGGGTTTCCAAAAGACTGTACTTAGTAGACCCACTAAAGGGATTCCTTAAAAAACATATGTCCCCATCCCCTAAATTCCAATTCCAGAGGTAGGTTTAGACGCTCCACGGGTGGTCCTTGCGTGTCTTTTATTGAAAACCTCTTTTTTATAAAATTAATCTACCCAAGATAACACTTCATGAAAACCTCTTTTAAGGTTAAAGATTAAAGGTTAAGATTAAGGTTAAATATCTGCCCACACCATCATAGAAACAGGTAGGGTTTTTTGTTGTTTGTTTCTTGAAACAGAGTCTTGCTCTGTCACCCAGGCTGGAGTGCAGTGGCATGGTCATAGCTTATTGCAGCTTCGACTTCCCTTGCTCCAGTGATCCTCACATGTCAGCCTCCCGAGTAGCTGGGTGCACTACAGGTGCACACCACCACACCCGGCTACTTTTTGTATTTTTGGTAGAGACAAGGTTTTGCCACATTGCCTACCTAGGCTGGTCTCGAACTCCTGAGCTCAGGCGATCCACCTGTCTCAGCCTTTCAAAGTGCTGGGATTACAGGCATGAGCGACTTTGCCCAGCCCAGAAACAGTTCTAAAATGGAGAAATATCCTCAAATACTGTGTTTTGTTATCATGCTTTCATAATGTGCTTGGTAGAAATCTCAAAGATTTCATGTAGATCTTAAAAATAAGACTGCTTATTTTGAAAATAGTTCTATTAAACATAAGTTTGTCAGTCATAAGGTTTGAAATATATGGAAGGTACTGTGAATATGAATTTAGAATTACACTAAAAGAATGTGAATCTTGTTCATGGATAAAGCAGCTTATCGGCTGAAAACTCCATTTTTATTGTCCATACAAGGAAATTGTGATATAGGAGAATTCAGCTAATCTGGACAATCTTAAGTTTCTAAAAATGCTTCCTTGACCTGAGACTAGAGGGTGGTTTCCTGTCCTTTTAGTGATCACTTAGATCAATATTTAAAAATATACAGTAAACAGTGGTTATACTGGAGCAAGTGAAGTCAATTAGGTGAATAGATTTTCACCCTTAATTTGTTTATTTTAAATTTTAGAACCAGAATCATTAGAATATTTTAGTTTTGTTGTTTAATAGTGCTTAAGAGCAGCAAATGTTTGGAAAGTAAAAATAACTTAGCAGAGCCTTGGGTTGAAAATCTTATTTACTACCCACCAACCCTGTAATTTCCTGCTGTTTAAATTTGGACACTTTAGTACATTATATATTAATTGTTTAAAAGTTAATCTGTTGCCTTTCAGTGCTTAGGAAGTGAATGAAGGAATACTTTAAAACATTACCATATCACCCAGGATTATGCAGAAACTCATTTCACTACATCCTCATATCATTCCTCTGTTTACTCCCATCCCCAGGGCCTAAGCAAGGCCCTGTAAAGCGTCGTCTTCATCCCCCCATTCAGAAATGCTGCTGGGAGACAGCACTGCTGCACTGCCTTTTTGGAAGTGGTATCTCCCACAAATGCTGATTTCTGAGAAGACTCCCCTTGACAGCTCTGACTGGTGCCCTTCAAGCAGTATGCGAGCCCGCTAACAATGTGGAGGTCACTGGCACCAAGCTGTTCTGATGAGAGTAGAACACCTGGGAAAATTTTCTTCTGTCCATTTCAGACTGGTGGTGTTTTTCCATTGACAGAAGAAAAGTATGTAAAAAATACTTAAACCCTTCCCTACACTTAATAGATATGGTAGTAGACTCCTTTGGGCTCACTCATTGTTCTTGCTACTCAGTAAGTGACAATGATTAAATATTCATTTTTCAGTGTTAACTATGTAAAATTAATAACTAATGACCAATTTTCATTTTCTCCAAGTCAAAAGAATATATTAATACTTTGCTAAGTATGATGAAATCAGTGCTTACATGTGTGCTTTAAGAATATGTGTGCTTTAGGAATATGTATGTTTTTTTTTAAAGATAACAGAAAAATTCAAATATAAACAGAACTATATAAAATTGCTTAAACCCCCATGTAGATATTATTCAGTTTAAATTAGCTTATTAATTCATGGATGGTTATTATTTACTCTACACCCTACTTCCCTCTCAGTATTTTGAAGTAAATCTTAGTTATATCATATTATCTAAAATTAATTTAAAATTATTGAAAGACGATCTTGAGTTGTATGAAGATATTTGAGCAGATGTCTTTTACAAAACAGCAGAATTCTTTATTGAAGCTGTAAAATAAGGAAAAGTGCATACGTTTATAGTTTAACAAACTGTAAAGATAATTCTTGTAAAAAATTTTATTCCACTAAAATTACTCATGATTTTCCTTTCCGAAGATAAACACTATTACCATCTTGATGTATAGTCCTCTAGTCTTTTCTAAGCATAGATATATGCAAAAATCTAGATAAAGATTGCATATAAACATATGCATTCATAGCACCGCCACTCAAGTCAAGGTATGATATTCCTTACTAATTGCAGCCCCCTACCTCGGTCTATTATTCTGACTTGTGTGGTGTGAAATAATGCTTTTTAAACTGTTTTTCATCATACAGTAAATCAGCCTTAAACATTTGGAAAATATGACAGTTCTTTTTATGGAAAACTCTTACATAATTAAAAATGATTTTAATGGAGAATTTAACAATAAAAATGCTTATGATAAAGTGTAGGAGGAAACAGGTTATATAAATGTATAATGATATCTCAGCTATATAAAAATTTAATAGAAAAATAAAAATCATCATTGTTAAAATGTATCTCACTACTGTTAGATCAAGCTGGTATTTGGGTTAAATTTTTATGAATAAAATATGAATGAAATTAATTAGAAGCAACTAGAATGATAGGAAGCAGGAAGGGCTAAGTAGTTTTGCAAAGTAGAGTAGCTATGTATGGATTCAAGTGCTATAAGAAAGCTGGTGTTGTCAGGTTCAGATTGAAAAGATAATGTTCGGTGAAATAGGTGGGAGAGTTTGTCATTTGTAAACATTATACATGACTTTCTACTTAAGCTAATATAAAAGTAATTTTTAGTATTTATGTTCTTGGTGATATTTTAACCTCATTAACTCTAATTGAAATGATAGTATAGATTTGTTAGTTTTCCTTATCACATTGTGATGTGTTGAGTAATGTTTGTTTCCTAATAGATAAGGCCTTTTATGAAAGCGCACCTAAATCGAGATAAAGACAAAGAACTTTTAAAATTAACTCAGTACCTCAAGGAAATAGCAAAATTAGATGACTTTTTGGATCTAAATCACAAATATTGGGAAAGGTAAGTTTTAATTGCTTATTTATTTTCTTTTTACGTCAATGAAGAAAAAATTAATCATTTTTCATCAGTGACCCCAGTATTTATATAGCTGTCTTAATTTTTATTTAAAATAGGTGACTTCTAAAAACATTTTCTAATCCAGTGATCTACCCCTGAAAGTATTTTCCCCATTCATCTTAACCTCTAACTTGTTCATAAACATACCTCTTGTAAGCTCTTTAATACTTCTAGAAGAGAGAACTTGAGAGACTAGCATATGTGGGTGATGCCGCCTGTAAATTATTTTGTGATGTTAGGTAGGCTACTCCTTTATGAATCACGTAATCCCTCTTCTCATACTGTAACATAATGTAAGGATAAAATAAAACACATGTAAAAATTTTATCTATTTATTTATTAAAAATTACAAGTAACTTGTGTGTAGCAGAAAAATTAGAAAACTTTATCCCACTAAAAAAAACAATTACTCATAATTTTCCTTTTTAAAGATAACCACTGTTACCATCTTGGTATATAGTCTTTCAGTCTTTTACCTAAACTCAAATGTATGCACAAATCTATATAGGCATTGCATATAAACATGAAGGTTTTGAGACAGAGAAAAGCCCCCGGAGAAGTGGAAGGTGTTACTCTGTATTACAAGTATTTTGGGGGGAATTAGATCTTTAGGGATCTGGTTCCAGTAATACAGCACCAAAAGAAACTATGTGTGTAATAATAACACTTTGGCTTTTCAGATTCCACTTTTGACTTTTCAGATCACTTTGACACAAGTCTTCTAAGAGTCTATAATCCTAATAGGAAGACAAAGCAGATATTTTTACCCCCCATCTTTGCATTGCAGATGATGTAACTGAGTCATGAAGATAGTAAATGCTTAGTGCAGTGCCACAGAGTGAGCAAATTGTACCAGCAAAACATGTTCAAGTTTGCTGATTTTAGGAACTCTTTCCCCATCCCCACACCACCAATTATAGTAATTTGTAAATGTGAGAAATAGAGATCACGTTTTTAATTTAGTGGTAGATTTCTATTAAACAATATGAAAAACATTTGTTTGCTTAGTAAGTTAATGTCTTGTATCTTTTACACTCTTGATCAAAGACCTTTAGCATCTTTTGCCCATTGTCTTGCTGTAAGAAAAATAAGATCTTTATGGAGTTGGAGCTGTATTTGGAAGTTACAATACTAGTTAATATAGTGACCTTCACATTGGAAGTAAGGCAGTATGGAGTGATAGTCAATGAGTACGACCTCTGGAGCCTTGTTTTGAATCTAGGCTCTTCCACTTTCTAGCTGTGTGAATTTGGGCAAATTGCTTAACTTCTTTGTGCCTGTAAAGTAGGAATAATTCTAATAGAAACTTCTTAGAGCTGTTGTGAAGACTAAATAAATTAATACCTGTACTTAGAACTGTGCATGCACATAATCAGTAGATGTAAGTGATTATTAAGAATACTCATCTTGAAATGTTTCATTATTAGAATAAACTCCTTTGGGAGGAAAGTTAGGTTATCTTCATGAATTTAGCATGATACAGCTTTGATATCTTTATTTTATTTCTTGCAGATATCTCTCAAAGAAGCAAGGACAGTAGTTACAAGTTATACTGGCAGTTACTGAAGATACTTAAGATCCAAGAACTTCTTGCTTTTATGCTAGAAATCATTATGATAGTGCTGGACACTGAAGCAAATACCATAATGCTTATACTTGGTCTTCCAGTTTTTTGTAAATTTAATTTTATATTTTTTGAAGATGATAGCAATATGCTAAAAAAAAAATGCTTGTCCCCTCTATGAATATTCTGTTACTCTTGAAAAATATTTTCTCCAGCGTTGGTTGCTGACCCCTCCCCCCCACCCCCCAACCACACACACACACACACACACATATACACACACACACACACACACAGAGAGTGGAGAAAAATGTATGCTCAACAATGTCATTTTGTGACTTTGGAAACAAGTTATGTTTTGTGTTTTTGTCTCATTGTGTTATTGTCTGACTAAATCTAAGACCAAACCCATGTTGAAACTAGTGCTTTCCCCTTTAAAACAAAAAAAAAAAAGTTTTTGATTAAAGAACCTAGTTTGTTATGCTTAAAATTATCAAGAATTTTTTATTCCTTTGTCATAGACACAATTTCTCTTCTGTATGCCACTAGTTACATTTCTAAATTCTGAGCGGTCTCAGTTAGGCCTGTATGTGTGTACATGTCCAAGTAAAGCTGGAAAACGTCAGTCTTGATACAGCTGTGTCTTAGTATGAGAAACAGAAGACTGAAGAATAAAAACTAAGGAACAAAAATGAGTCTCTTTTTGGTGGCTAAGTATAATCTGCCTAAAACCATTGTCATAAAAGCAGTTAAAGGCAATAAATTTTTAAAAGGGACATATCACTGATTCATTCCTAAAAAGCATGAACAAAAAGTTTTTGTTCTGTTCCAGCTATATCTTGTCTAAGTGCTAACACTGTTTCAGTGAAAATATCTAGCCATAAGATTAAAAAAATATATTATTTGCAATGCTTAAGCCTGCAGATATGTAATGTGACCACTGTTTTGTGTTGACAATATTGCTTTATACAGTTCTTGTATTTGAAAGGAATTGATCCTTTTAAAGAAACATGGTGTATATTGTTCTTACAGGACTAATTTCAGTGGTGTAAATAATAAATATCTTTTCTTAAAACATTGATTATCTGTTCTATATTACCACAGATATTTTACCTCTTTGTTGAATGACAAAATGAACATTATGTTCGGGCAAGGATCTCTTGCAAAAACTTAAATGTGTATGGTGATGTTAAAGGTGTGTATATCACTATTTATACATTCAGGAGTAGTTTTAGCAGCTAATCAGATACATAAAATTACTGAATTCTAATAAGTACCTTTTTTCAGAAATGTATGCTGTTTTCTTTGTGACAGGTTATTATGAGGATATACAGTGCAGAAGAGTTTGAGGACTCAAAGTGATTCAATTAAAATGTATTTCTTAATTATGAAGTAAAATTTAAATATTTAAAGATAGAATAGAAATTTTAGAGTATTCATTTCATTGGTACATTTTTCCCACTGTAAAAGACAACTTATTCCAAAGTACGCATGGAAAGGACTTAATCTTCTCAAGAAAATGGAACACTTGATTAACATAGGTCAAGAAAGGGCAGACATTTTCTTTTTCTTTTTTTTTTTTTTTTTTTTTTTTTGACATTTTCTAAAGCAGTGTAAACTAAAATACAAAAAGTTAGCAAGTCACAGGAAGCAAAGTAGAATTTTACAAAAACATTTTCTGCCATTAGGTGGTGCCCAAACCAAAGCTTCTTAGCTGCTGTGCTTAATTAAGCCACTCTGGAGAACATTGTCATTGAGCTTGTTGAGGTAACACACTATATGTGATTAATACCATCATAGAGTGCAGGAGTTTTCATTTGTCTTCTGCATCTCATGGCTTATTGAACAGCTCCATCTCTATATATCTGTGTGTGGTACACACAGCTGAGTCAATAGATCACGTAATTCAGATGTATATATATATATTTTTTTAATTTTTATTATACTTTAAGTTCTAGGGTACATGTGTACAACGTGCAGGTTTGTTACATATGTATACATGTGCCATGTTGGTGTGCTGCACCCATCAACTCATCATTTACATCAGGTATAACTCCCAATGCCATCCCTCCCCCCTCCCCCCTCCCCAATTCAGATGTGTATTTTGGTGAAACCACAAGTTATTTTTACCAGATATATGTGTTAAGCATTAAAACAGTATTATACGAAGTATATTTAGCCTAAAAACTACTGAACATCGGTAAATCTTTGATTCAGAGGGAAGTTTCTAGTTTCCACTCAGGTCTTTGTTATGGAAATCAGTTATTGGACTAATGATACCTATAGCAGCTCTTCAGTGTAAAAGGTAAGGAATGGAAAAACAGGTTGTTACAGTAAGCAACTGAAACTTATTTATTCATGGAAAGTAAAATAGTTGCTTGAGAGGAAGAGGAACTGTACAGGGATAGGGACTGGGAAAAAAGGATATGCAAAATAATGCAGATTAGTTGCATTTTAAGTTATTGTTTGGTTTTTAGGTATTAATAACAATTGGGTAGTCAGAATAGTAATAAAACATGAATAATAAACTGTTGAGTTTTCTCATCCCAAGTACTCAACAGAACTCTCTCATGGGACAAACCATTATGGTCTCCAATGAAATATTTTACATCAAAATTCAATCTTCTTATGAACTAGAATAGCCCAAGAAATGTCTGTGAAGATTAAATGCATAGATATTTATGTAAAGATTAAGTTTTGCTATGTGAGTCTTGGTGAGACATCTGAGTATTTTAAATTTTTAATTGACAATTGTTTATGGGGTACAATATGGTGTTTTGATACATACATCCAATGTGGAATGATTGAATCAGGCTAATTAGCACATTCGTCACCTCAAATACTTCTTGGTAGTGAAAACATTTAAAATTCCCTTTTTAGCTGTTTTGAAGTATACATTATTATTAACTGTAGTCATTATGCTGTGCCGTAGATCACCAGAATGTATTCCTCTTATTTAACTGAAACTTTGTACCCTTTGACCAACATCTCGTCTTTCCCCATCCACCACCACTGCCCTCCCCAGCCACTGGTAACCACTTTTACTCTCTGTTTCTGTGAGTTTGACTTTTTTTTTTTTTTTTGAGACGGAGTCTCGCTCTGCCGCCCAGGCTGGAGTGCAGTGGCCGGATCTCAGCTCACTGCAGGCTCCGCCTCCCGGGTTCACGCAATTCTCCTGCCTCAGCCTCCCCAGTAGCTGGGACTACAGGCGCCCGCCACCTCGCCCGGCTAGTTTTTTGTATTTTTTAGTAGAGACGGGGTTTCACCGTGTCAGCCAGGATGGTCTCGATCTCCTGACCTCGTGATCCGCCCGCCTCGGCCTCCCAAAGTGCTGGGATTACAGGCTTGAGCCACCGCGCCCGGCCGAGTTTGACTTTTTTAGATTCTACATATAAGTGAGATCGTATTGTGTCTCTCTGTACCTGGCTTATTTCATTTAGCATAATGTCCTTTAGCTTCATCCATGTCACAAATGACAGAATTTCTCATTTTTTTTAAGGCTGAATAGTATCCATATATATATATAAATGTACATCATATTTTTAAAAATCCATTCATCCGCTGATAAGTACTTTGTTTTTTTTCTATATCTTGGCTATTGTAGATAATGCTGCAGTGATCATGCGATTGCAGACATTTCTTCAGAGAGCTTAGTGCTTAAATCTTAAGAGAATCTTTTCATAATTAGTTTCATAGATTTAGCAAAGACTTCTGCGAAATTAGTGCCTTATAAGAACTGAAACAAATCAATATGAAGCATCCTGTAGGGCTGAAAATGGTGTCAGTTATCTATCTAGTAATGTCAATGAGCTTCCATGTAAAGTGTAAAATCTTACACGCCTCCCACATTAATAATTTTGTAAAAACACTTTGGAAGTAAGCAAGCACTTAAATGCAAGCATAAGGATATTACCTGACATGAACTGTTACTCATTAAAATGCTGGTTTGCTTCTGAAAAGCTTTAAAACCTGAACTTACAGCTTTATTTTGTTTTTTTTGAGACAGAGTCTCACTCTGTCACCCAGGCTGGAGTGCAGTGGCGCGATCTCAGCTCACTGCAAGCTCTGCCTTCTGGGTTCACGTCATTCTCCTGCCTCAGCCTCCCAAGTAGCTGGGACTACAGGCACCCGCCACCACACCCAGCTAAGTTTTTTGTATTTTTAATAGAGATGGGGTTTCACCGTGTTAGCCAGGATGGTCTCGATCTCCTGACCTTGTGATCCACCCGCCTGGGCCTCCCAAAGTGCTGGGATTACAGGCGTGAGCCACCACGCCCGGCCTTGAACTTACAGCTTTCAAGAACATTTGTAAACAGTAGAAACAAAACCTTAAAAATATCAAAAAGATTGCTAAGCTTTAATGATTTTTCCATAAACCAATATGGCTGTGAAGAACACAAGTTAAATAGTGTATGTGTATAATTTGTTACACTAAAGGCCAAACTGATGACTTTTCAGGAATCTAGACATTATTAAAATGAGGTGAATCAATTATTTAATTGAATACAAATCCCTCTTACTTTTATTCCCAGTTCTTAATTCTCTGAAACACTGATTGCTATCACTATCACTTCTTGTTGGATAATCTGTGAGGACAACTGCTGTAGCTTCCTAAATAAGGCTTTTGAAAGAGCCAGTGGTTTGTCAGAAAAACATGTGACTAGAATCCCTCTTTATTGGCAACAGTACCTTGGGCAAGTCACTTCAATTCTTTGAACTTTGCTTCCTTCTCCTTAAAAAACGTTCTACACCTGTCTGCCTTTCCCATAGGCTGTGGCGAAGTCAATTGAGACAGTTCCTGTGGAAGGACTTCGAAGCAGCAAAGGCGTATGAGAATGTCAGATGTTAAAAGTAGTTCAGAGCACGTGGCTATCATTGAGCCCTATCATTTCTGAAATACAGTTACCAAAAGTGAAGTTTTAAAAGGAAGACTTTTCTTGATAATTTTACAAATATTATCTTGGTTCTCCTAAGATTTCTAAATAATCAACGAAAGGAGAATAAGGAAACCTCTTATGACCTAGATCTTTTGGTAAGTATCCAGCTGCTTTTATGTCTGCAAATGCCATTTAGTATTGGTCTGGACCGGAAGTCC